AAGTTTCTTATCTGATTCCAAGACCTGTCTAGGAGAACCTTACATGGAGTTTACGAGGAATTAAAGTGGGTGTTCTACAGGCACATCCGAAATCTGGCGTTTTATATGCCTTGTGCAATCACGGAGGGTTTTTGATACAGACCTCCCTTGTGGCCTAGACGTTTCGAATTAAAAGGAAATTGAGACTATTGTTCTTGTCCAGCTGTGGACATAAATGAAGCCGACGTCTCTGCCTTTGGTGGTCCCAGGAGAAGGGCGGTCCAGGATTCTCAGGCGTTCTGGAACCACAAAACCCCAACAGCTCTAAACAGTTGACATTACTTATGTAGTCCATAGGGGGCGCTCTGCAGAACCAGTGATTCTCCATCAAATGCTGACATTGTGAAGCTTTAAATAAAACTGCTTGCTGAGCCAGAGAGGTGGCTCAAACAGTAAGACGTTTGCAGCCAAGATGGATGGCCTGAGTTCGATTCCCAGTACCCACAGGCAGAGGCCAGATTCCCAAGGGTTCGTCTAAACTCCACACACAAACTAAATAAATAAATGTAAAAGTAACTGCCCACTGCCCTCTCATTGTTCACTAAAATCTGTAATACATATTTGTAGATAAGAAATAGCCTCAAGATGATTCAAATTAAAACACCTAATGTGGGGGCAAAAGCAATTACTCACCGGTTGAGGACACTGGCTGCTCTTCCAGGAGCCAGAGGGGCACAGGTTCAGTTCCCAGCACCCAGGTGGCAGCTCACAGGCATCTGTAACTCCAGTTCCATGACCTCTGACACTCTCTTCTGGACTCTGAAGGGACCGAGCACACTCTAGGGGCAAGATACCCTTGCAGGGTAAACATCCGTATACATACAATAAAATATAAACAAACAAATAAATAAATAAATACAGAATGTAAACTTGACTTGTACAACAAATTGTTCAGCTCACTCTATATGAAATGATAATATCCAAATAATCTTGCAATGTACTGAAATAAGTCCATTTGCGTGTGTGTGTGTGTGTGTGTGTGTGTGTGTGTGTAAAGTTGAATTTGTCTCTCACATCTTAAGGCTTCTGATTATGTGATTATTCTTGGATGAACTTTGTTAGTGGCCTAAGGGGCTCGGTGAGAAACTTGAGGGCAGTGGTTATAATAGTCAAGATATCACAGAACCCAACTCCAAAACACTTAGATTCTAAAAACCAAAAATTAAAAAGGGGGAGAAAACCTGTAAGATGAAGGAAACTCTTAAATCAGGCGTCTCCCTATGGGTGTACAAAGAGGAAGGGGACGTCCCACCTCTAAGATTAAGGAAACATCTAATTTGGTCACATGGTGGCCGATGACATTTGTTTCCTGAGCTCCATGGTCAATGTCTGCTCCTTCATGTTCGTTGTCTGAGACTTCCAGGAACAAAAGGTGTGTGTGGACAAGCTGCCTTTGCTGCTAGCTTTGCTTTGTTTCCCAACCACAACTAGCTTGCCCCTTTGCTCAGGAAGAAGAGGAGAGTAGGGACTATGGGTCTACTGCTAAGGACGACCATTCTGCTGGGTCTGGTTAGACCAGGCCTCCAACACCACCCCAGCCCCCCAGAAGGAGCTATGTGCCCTGCATTTTAGTAGTTGCCTGAGTGTGACCTGCCTCAGTATCCCCTACAAGGGCTCCTGAAAATGTGGAGCAGGGGAGGGGAGGCCGCGATGACCCTGTTCTGAAGTTGTCTGCCTTCTTCTTGCTGTGACCAGAGAACTCCCTCCTCATGCCCTCCAGTTCTCATTTGCTCTTCTGCGACTCAAGCAAGTTGACCCTTAGCTGAACAATCCCTGGGGTGGTAGGATCTGGACTCTGGTCTCATTCTGGCTTCTTCTATCCCTGAACTCTGGGAACTGGAGACATCACCCCTAGAGCCCTGGGATGGCTGCAGTGGCATACCAAACATGAAATCCTCTCCATTTGGTCAACCAGAGGGAACTCCAAGTGTCTATACTTCCAAAGGAAGGAAGTCATCAAGCCGATGATCTATGCCATCACCGACAAAAACGGAATGTATATTTAAGGGGCAATTTCAGATCTCAGAAGGAGAGGCTGGAGTTCCTGTGCTCTAACCTCCTCCACCTTCCAGGGCTGGGCTCAGCCCTCCACGGCTCTGGCCTCACTAAAGGGTATGACTCGACCCCTGGAGAAACCATAGCCTTCGCCTTCCTTTGGAAACGGAGCCACATGAGGGGGTCCACGAATCTGATCCTCCGTGGATATGTCCTGCAGCCATCTGGAACTAGCCACTCTCCTCACTGTTTGTGGCACCGATTCTGGGTAACTTCAGAGGCACATACAACAGCCAAGATCTGTCCAGGATGCTTTCAGCGTAGAAAAACCTACCTCAGAGGTCTCAGAGCTAGCACGAGTGAGCTACCTCTTCCCCCTGGTTCTTCCGAGTGGATACTCTGTTTTAAACACAGCATCTAAAGCAGATCAATGTTTATCTCCCCTTCCCATCCTGGTTAGTACGTGGCCATGTCTCTAATTAGCGCGCACTCCCCTCTTGCTCTCACCGTGGAAAAGGCTATCACCTAAGGTGACAGGTTCTCTGGGAAACTTCGTTTGTCTTTCCTTTTTTTTTCTTTTTTTAATTTTATTTCCTGCAATTCTCCGGCCTCAGATTCCTGAATGCTGTGCTTTCAGGCCTGGCTTCTCTGAGGACTGTGCTGAAGTGACAGCCGGGTCCTTTGGGACTTCAGTAGACTGAGGTCACTGGGCCTGCTTGGGTCAGCGTCAGAGCTGTCAGACCTGGAATTTTCTAGTTGAGCTTAGGCATTGGTTAGGAGGAACCGAGGCCATTCCGTCTTCCCCTTCCACTTAACCAGCCTCTCTCCATTCTGTCCCTAAGCAACATCGTGACTCTGCCTAGTGACGACACCCTTTCTGGGTCATAGTTTCTTACCCGAGGGGAATGTTACCTTTGCTTTTCAGTATTTCTCAGGGACAGAGCTCCTCCTAACAGCAATTGCTCTTGCTTACTGCGTCTGCAGAAGTTCAAGGGCAGGGTGCCCCTGATGGGGGCAACTGCGAATCCAGTGCCCTCTTGCAAGATGCTTTGCTAATGAACTCTCCGGGTAAGGCACTTGCGCGCGGCAGCGCCGGAGGGGAGCGGGGTGTTCTGGAAGGACAATCTCTACTTTGTTGGGGACTTTAAGCTCTGGAAAAGATACATCTAGGTCCTTGGCCGGCCCTCAATCCCAGAGGTAGTTTCCTGGCTCTCCTCTAGAGAGCTGGAATCTCTCTGGGTCCGCAGGCTAACAGAACACTCCTTCCTTGAGCCTGCAGTGGAAGCCAGCTGTGTCCAGCTCAAGACCATCACTGTATTCTCACCACCTTCCAAGCTCTCGGCATGCCTACCAGAGCAGACCCCAGCTCCGCGGGAGGGTTACCAGGATGGTGATCCCCCAAGGATCCCAGCATAGGCCAAGTACCCGTTCACCCCTCGGTGCCCTCTTCGCTTCCAGGCAGTCCTTCACTAGGCCCCCAGATTAGCATCTCTGTGAAGTCCTGCAAACAAGGCCTGCTGTGCTAGAGATGAAAGCCTGGCTACGGGTGGTTGGGTGGGGGGACTTTTGAAGTCCCGAAAGGTGGGGCCCAGAGAGCAGATGGGAAAGAAAGCCAGGTGAGAAGAGCCCCCCCCCCCGCTGACCTGTGCCCTCGACCCCCCGCCCCCAGCATCCTCTGCCCTTTGTGAGCTCCCTGGAAGGCCTATACCCACTTAACCTCAGTACTTGGGCAAAAGACTGCCCGGTCTTTGCATAGCGGTGCCTCTTCCGTGGCAGGGAGTCCCGGGCCAAGCGAACATTTGCCTCCTTCATCTCCCGCCCCCCCCCGCCTTGCCCCGCGCGCACCCCTTTGAGAGCTGAGTGCTTCCTGAGAGACGCACAGTGAGCGTAGGCTCAGGGACTCTAGGGAGAACGCAGTGAGCTGCTGTTTCCCCGGGTCACAGGTTCCCAGTCCCAACCGTTAGGAACACAGAGGGAAAGAACTGGATCCCCACTTGAAGTCCTCTCATACCAGAATCCCCACCAAGGGAATCCAGCCGCAAGTGGAGTGCGTGGGGAAGCAGTGGATTCTAAGGATTCTAAGTGCACGATGCAGTCCGGGTGCGTCGTCCAATTCCGCACCCGACGCCGGGTGCAAGATTGTGTGTGCCTCCATTCCCCGTGTGCAAGATCGCCCAGAAGCCATGATCAACAGATCCCACGAGGGCTAGTCTCCAGCACCACGCTCACTTGGCCTGTCCCTTTGCGGTGACTAGAGCGGCACAGGTGTGAAGGTCACAGCTCTCAGCCTTTGAGACCACATTTTTACAGCTCCCAGAATTGAAAAAAGGGGGGGAGGATAAAAGCCCCTCCCCTTCACATTTCTGGATTGCAGTGGTTTTGTTTCAGCTACTTTGAGGATAGGGACAAAAAAAAAGTTTCTCCATAAGAATGTCGCTGCACACACTGTCCTGGGGAAGTGCTTCTTCTTGGGGGCACTTTAGAAACCCCCTGTCCTGCTTTCTGCATGGTCAAGGAGCAGAATAAAGGAAGCAAAGACTTTTATTTTATACACCACTTGATCTTTGCTTGGGAAACTCTATTAATTGAATGGGCTTGCCTTTTTTGCCAGGTCCCCTTTATCATTATTTATGGGCTTTAAATTGTTTAAAGTTCCCTTGACGTTCAATTTACAAGTTTGGGGACTTTTTTTGTTCTGCCTTTTGTCCTGGAGAAAGACATCGTGTTGGAAGCGCTTTGAAAAGCCAAACATGAGAGGTTGGCAGTGAAAGGGAAGCGGGCAAGATCCCTTTTAATTCCGTCCTGTTGGTGAATGGCTCTTTTACATAATTGCAGGAGCTATTTCAAAGCCAGCCAAGGGCTGACTTCACTTAGAACCACATGGAGTCTATTTTGGGCTTTCAGATTTAAAAAAAAAAAAAAAGCTGAATAAAATAGTTTAAAAAGATGAGGCTTCAATGCTTTCTGCTACTTGCAAATTGGTGTGTCTGATGGGGAGTTTTCCACAAGCGCCTCTTTGTAAGTCCGTCTTGGGCCGGGGGAAGCTCGATTCTGGGTTAGCTGGGTGTGAATCCCAATTGCCCCTCCATAAATAAATCCCAAGCTATTTCCCAACTATGTCCAGGAGCAAGTTCTGCGGCAATGATGGAACCGTCAGGACCCCTCAAAATCCTGCTTAATAAAAACAACACGGTTGCCCGAGAAACCATCCTGAAGTTTGGGTCTGGACTGCTGGCCGGGCAGCCTTTTCTCCTGTGCGAGGCCTGCAGGCTTCCCCACGCGGCATCCACGGAGACTGGAGCGCTCCACGTTGACCCCTCGAAGCCGCACGACGCTTCTACCTCCAGGTAATATGAATATCCATTCACTCGTGCGGTTCGTATTTTGTGCTTGGCTTTCACACACCTGTGTGCAAAGGCTGAACCGGACAGTTCACAAACGTGGAACCAACTTAATTACCGCCACTTTTATCGAACGTCTAAGCCACTTATACAATCCTGACGATACTCGCTTGGCAGCGGTAAAGTACCTCTGGGACTGGGCTGTCGTCATCTGAGAAGGACGCTTCGAGAGAAAAAGTTCGCAGAAGTTAACTGGAGTTGGGGAACCCAGCTCTCCCCGCGCGCCCTGCCTTTTCCTAATTGGAGGGGGGCGGGGCTCTCTGAGTCTAGTTGCTAAGATCTGAGCCGGGTGATTTTCCCGCACAGCCTGGGCCGAGTCCAGTTTCGCTGGACTCTGCTGTTCGAGGTTGTTCCGAGCAAAGCGGATAGGAATTTCAAGGACAGATAGGGGTACCTGTCGCTCCCCGTCCGTAAATCCAAAGGTTTTTGTTATCCGCAGCCGCCAGGCTCGCCGCGCTCTGCACGTAGCTGAGGTGTCCTGGAATGAATCTTGTTAATCACGCCAAAACACAAGCAGCCTTTTATGATGCGAACAGTCATTTTCTAAGCAGTTAAGCATTAGATGAGAAAAATATTACTGCATAGCATTCGAGAAAAGCACACTAGTAAATAAAATTCGTATTGATGAAAAATTATTTGAACTCACTAATAAAAGATTAGTATTATAAACCCCGCAGTCAATACTTTTCGTGGCAATTTATGGATACAAATAATACGCCATCAAATTACTTCAAGTGTGGCTATAATTCAAAGGTCCAGAATCTTGTTGCAGAACTTTAAGCGTAATCACCAAAATAGTCAAAGGAATCCCTATCTCTGGGTGTAATCAAGCGACAGAAGACTCTACAACGATATTTCACAGTGAAAGAGCAAAAAGGAAGGTATTTGGGGCCAGGTACGTGAGTGGCTGCTTACAAAGGCGCCCCAGAGATAAGCGCAAAGATCCTCAGCTGTTGCTACGTAAATCAAGGAAGCCGTTATTCTGGAAGTTGGGGAGGGGGCAGCGGACGATTAACAACAAGGTAATGGCATCAGAATCTGTCACTGTAACCATCTCATAATAAGAGGGAGTGTTTATTATGTTCATGGAGAAACCAGCCTTTTGCCTTGGGCTTCCATCATCTTCTTTTGTGGGCAAACAGGGGCTACAGCTTGGAAGACTCCTCAGACACCTCCTTCCCGTGTATCCCAAAGGGAATTAATTTCCCCTCACACTGCCTAAGCCATCTCGAGGTCTGGGCGTGAAGTGAGGGGACGCAATACAGGCAGTGCCCTAATGAATTCCTTTCAAACCGCCTGCTGCCGAAACCATCTATTACTGCGGCCCCGGAGTGGGGAAAGGCGTTTGAGATGTCTTTGTCCGGGTGATGGAGAGGAGAGGAGGGGACACTGGTGGGGGAGGAGGGCCGCTGGCTGCCCGGCCAGAGAGTTTTCTCCTGGCCTAGGGATCCGAAGGACGCACCCTCAAAAAGCCTCATACCTTTCTGGGTGGGCAATTGCTCTCTGGCCAGACTCTTGGCCCAAGGACGTGGTCTAGGATTGAGACGTCCCCGGGGGTCTTGGGGTTAGAGCAAGAGGGGGAGAGAGAGAGGGGGAGAAAAAAGCAGAAAGGAGAGCTTCAAAGAATCGGGTCGATAAATTCATAAAGATCGATTTATCTTTATCTCCCAATTAAATGTGCTTGTGATACGTACACACGTCCAACATGGGCCAACTCCCCAACCACCAGCTTCGCGGGGTGAACTGATTTTTAGTGGCTTATGTAACAATGCCCTTCTTTGCTCCCTGATCGGGTGCTGTCAGCAGTTCCGGAAGGATGTCTAGACCAGGGAATTTGAAGCCGAGGTCCGGGGACAGGAGGAAGCCCTGCGCGCTCTGGCGCGCTTGACAGAACCTGCCCTTGCCAGGAAACAATCTCATTTAAAACGGAACACAAGAGCTGAAAGTTTGTTTCAACATAAGAAAAGAGGACCAGTAAATGTCTACTTTCCTTTCGCCGCAATCCCGCCAATCTCTTGACTCCCAAATTCCTGGGGATTTACCATCATCGAGAACGGGGGATAGATCTTGAGAGGCTCGGCTTCATCCGGCAGTCAGCAAAGGGGAAATGCGCGCCCTGGAGTCATCGAACTATGCGGAGCCAGGGTGAGAGCTCCCTTCGCTTCCAACGTGCTTAATTAGCGCCTATTTACAAAACGCAGCTTTTATTTGAGCAAACATCATAAAGCTTTCATCAGGATAATCTCACGTTCTACAATCCAGAGGCGTCGCAAACTCCCCCCTCCCCCCCATTCCTCCCTGAAGATGGAGCAGATAAAGGACTCGCTTTATTATCATAATTATCGTGGCTGTTATTTTGGTGCGCGCTGGCAAAGTGGGTAAATAGGTGCGATGATTAAGAATGTCATGAAAAATGAGGAGGGATCGCTCACGAAGGGCCCAGCTAGGAATGGGGGAAGGGGGGGGGGAAACAGCCTGCCCGCCCCGCCACCAGAGAGCCCTGAACAACTGGGCAGATTCCGTGTAGTGAACAGGGGCTTACAGGACTCTGGCGCACATCTGGGAACGAACCTGTAGAGGCAAAACCCAGGAGACCTTGCCGGGACCCTTGGTACAACCAGAGCACCCCTGGCTACAGTGAGCATCACACAGGGTTCTGCTATAGAGACCATAAAGAAAATAAAACGCTCCCGGCCCATTCAGGGCGAGTGCCAGCTCCAAGCTGCCTCTGAGACGGTCTCCACGGGGATGCCAGGGACTCGAGGATCTGAGCAGAGGATGTAGCAAGGGTTCCTCTCAAGTTTGCGCTGCGTGGTGCAGGAACACGGGCTTGGGCTCCCAGGCCTGCACGCTCCAACGGTGGCGCCCGCAGCCCGCCTGCGGCCAGCCTGGGTAAAGGGGGGCGGAGCCCTAATTTTGCCCTGCCTCTCCCGGCACAGCCAATGGGAGGTGGTACTCAACACCACGTGACAAAAGCTCTGCTGGGCAGCTGGCAAAATGTGAATGAGAAAGAGGAGCGCGATTTAAAGGTGCTGGCGGCGCCCGCCAGAGACAAGTGCGCCGGCTTCGCGCGCTCCCCGGCGGCCCGTGGGAGACGACTGACTGCGGGACAGACAGACGGACACACGCACCGCTGGTAGCCGGGTCGAGAGCCGCAGACACAACACGCGTACGTTCCGACGAGCTAGCAGCGGGGAGCGGCTCCAGCAAACGCGAGGCCCCCGGCGCCCTCTCCATCCCGGGCACACGGCCTCACCGCGCTCAGCGGCTATACCCGCGCGGGCCGGGTATGCTGCAGGTCCCGCACTGAGGGGCGGCGGCGTCTACGCTCCGGGTGCCGCTCGGCCTCTATCGGGTGCTCCCGGCGTCCGGAGGGCTTCCAGGCGGCGGCGCGGCACGGGGACTTTTCGTCTCTCCCTGGCCTCTCCCGAACGCGTCTATGAGCGCTGCATTCCCGCCGTCGCTGATGATGATGCAGCGCCCGCTGGGGAGTAGTACCGCCTTTAGCATAGACTCGCTGATCGGCAGCCCGCCGCAACCCAGCCCCGGCCATTTCGTCTACACCGGCTACCCCATGTTCATGCCCTATCGGCCCGTGGTGCTGCCGCCGCCGCCGCCACCACCTCCCGCGCTGCCCCAGGCTGCGCTACAGCCGGCTCTACCCCCCGCGCACCCTCACCACCAGATCCCCAGTCTGCCCACTGGCTTCTGCTCCAGCCTGGCCCAGGGCATGGCGCTCACCTCCACGCTCATGGCCACGTTGCCCGGCGGCTTCTCGGCGTCGCCCCAGCATCAAGAGGCGGCGGCCGCCCGCAAGTTCGCTCCTCAGCCACTGCCTGGTGGTGGCAACTTCGACAAAGCCGAGGCGCTCCAAGCCGATGCGGAGGATGGCAAAGCCTTCCTGGCCAAGGAGGGCTCGCTGCTCGCCTTCTCTGCGGCCGAAGCGGTGCAGGCTTCGCTCGGTGAGTCGGCGGCGCGCGCAGCCGGAAAGCGGGGACGGGAGGGAGTGGGGGCGGGCCAGCTCCGGGTTCCCGCCGGGACCCCGGGGACGAGGCCGCGCCCCCGCCCTACCTCCGCTGGGTTAGCTAAAGGAGCCGAGGGGGTGTTCAGCGGAGCTTCCCAAGGGGCATTTAAAGCCAGGCAACAAGCAGGGTCTTGGGGAAGGAAGGCATTTAGGGATCTCCTGCTAGCTGCTCCGGGCCACGCTTCTTGCGGCGCGTTTGGTTCAATCTAAACTGTCCCCTCAACACACACTGTGATGACTGAGGGTCCTTGATATGTTGCAACCTTAAGCAGAGGCCTGTTGGGCTGTTTTTTTTTTTTTTCTTTCAGTTACGCATGTACCCAAGAGAGTCGAGACTTAACATGTCTTCATTGGGTTCTCTGCTGTCCAAGAGAATCAGATTTTTAAGAAACTGTCCAGGTGTGTGTGTGTGTGTGTGTGTGTGTGTGTGTGTGTGTATACATGCATTCGCGCGCGCATATGGATTGTCGGGTAGGGAACTTCTCCTAAGGTGACTCAAACGATCTGTCTCAAGAAAGCTGCTGTCTGACATCGGCACTACTCTACTATCCCACTTCTTCTGTGGTGAAATTGAGACTCACTAAATTTCAGTGTTCAGATGGTGGCAGGAAGGATCGTGAACTCTCCCTTGGTCCTCAAACAGCCCTGGACCCCGGGGAAACAAAAGGGGAAGTTCTCTTGGGCCTCGGGTCCAAGCTGCATCCTTCTACTTCAGCTGTCAGAGGCTGGGAGGGCGCGCGGGAGGCATGTCGGCCCCTTGAGTGATGGTTCTGGGCAAAGGGCCGTTGCCTCTGCTGTCTCCTCCTCTCCTTTGAGCTTTTCTCACGCTCGTCCCCCCCCCCCACCGCCGCCGCACTCCTCAAAGCCCAGGAAATCACAATGTGTTAATGTCGTAGAAAAACAATCTGCTGGGGGTGGGGGGTGGGAGTGAGGTGCCCAAGTGGGAAGGGGTAGGAAAGGCAGTGTTGGAAATGTAATAAAAGCCGTTTGGTTTTGCTTTCAGTCGGGGCTGTCCGAGGGCAAGGGAAAGACGAGTCAAAGGTGGAAGATGACCCGAAGGGCAAGGAGGAGAGCTTCTCTCTGGAGAGCGATGTGGACTACAGCTCAGATGACAATTTGCCTGGCCAGACCGCTCATAAGGAGGAAGATCCCGGCCACGCACTGGAGGAGACCCAGCAGAGCGGTGGTGCAGCGGGCAGCACTACATCCACGGGCAAGAACCGGCGGCGGCGGACTGCCTTCACCAGCGAACAGCTGCTGGAGCTGGAGAAAGAATTCCACTGCAAAAAGTACCTCTCCTTGACCGAGCGCTCGCAGATCGCCCACGCCCTCAAACTCAGCGAGGTGCAGGTAAAAATCTGGTTCCAGAACCGCCGGGCCAAGTGGAAACGCGTCAAGGCAGGCAATGCCAATTCCAAGACCGGGGAGCCCTCCCGGAACCCCAAGATCGTCGTCCCCATCCCCGTTCACGTCAGCAGGTTCGCTATTCGAAGTCAACACCAGCAGCTGGAACAGGCCCGACCCTGAAGGCCCAGCCAGGGTGGACACCGTCGTGGAGAGGCCCTAACACCCGAGGGAACCCGTGGCAGATTCCACTGTTTGAAGCAGAACTGAAAGGCACCTCCCAGATGTGGACATCCCAAGCAAATTGAGAATATATTCACTAGATGGGCTTAAAGGAGGCTACGGCCACACCAGAAGATACACTAAATATTTATTATACGACCCTACTTTGTACATAGATATCTATATAGACTGGATCTCAGCTGCAGTATTTGAAAGGGATAGGACCAAAGGTCTCCACTCACACATTCCAGATGAAACAAACCCACCACTTGGTATTCTGCCGCCCCGGGGCGGCCACCTTCCCATACTTTCCCAAAGGTAAATGGGAGACACAAGAACAAACACTGGGGTTTAAACTTATTTTTTGTTCTTAATTCTGGCTTTTTGAGTTGAGCGCAGAGCAGACTTCTTGGAATCTAGGAATCTGCTCTGATGTTTGCCTTTGCCTGGCTTTCTTCCCTGGGCTTGTCTATCCTATCTGAGCCATGTCGGAAGCACGTCTCCGTTGTGTTTAATTTATTTCAATGTAGCTTATTTTCATATAAGTTATGACATTTAAACAATCTCAGTCTTGTGAATAATAAAAAAGCAAGAAAAAAACACAAGCTCAGTCGTTGGGGCCTCCTAAGAGTGCCCACCACTTGGGCACTTCAAGGGCACTGCCAGGGTGTGGTCAGCTGAGTGGCATGGGACCAGGATGGAGGCTGATCGGCCGTAAGCCACGTAGCACTCTAACAGACTTTCAGTTAGAGAGTAGAGCTGTGGGTTTAAGAAAGCCTAGTTTTCACTTTAGAAGTCTGCCATGTCCCCTTTTTGCATGGTCTTATCAAAACCCGAGGACTGGCAAACTTTGGCCAGAGGAGGCGAGAAAGCGAGCGGGGTGGTGGTGGGTTTGCACAAACTCAGGGACTCCACACCCGATGCATCCAGGGACAAGAAACTCCGATCCTAAAAGCGGCGGTGCCGGCTCGCTCTCAGGGCCTCGGGTCCATAAATCAGTCTGCAGGCGTTATCTTCCGACAGGAGCCGGAACCCAGCAAGCAGTGTAAGGCTTCCCGGCAACTCTGGGCTTGGAGGCGGGCTGTGAACTCCAAGGCTCTACCCTTACCCCTCCGGGCGGGGTCGGAGGGGGCGTGCCCTGACCAGTGCCCCACCCCAAGGGCGCTGGGGCCTCGCTGCCGCTCAAACGTGGCTTAGCGCCCAGAAACCTAAGGATGGGGCGTCTCTCTGCCTTGGAGGGGCGGCCTGTAAAGCGCGGGAGGGGCGTGCCCGCTCCACTTCACCTCCTCTAACTTTGGTACTAAGACCGAAGCCGGGACCGCACTCCGGAAGCGTCCAGAGAGACGCCAAGGCCTAGCGCTGCCAACATTGCGGTGCCCAGGACCCGGGTATCCTGAAAGTGTGGAGCGTGCTAGTGACGGTGATCCTTCTGGTCCTTAAACCTGCAGCCCAGAGAGCAGCTAGTGGCTCCACCGCTTCAGCTTTCCAAACAGAAGGATGCGGAAGCCCCAGCAAAGCCACCCTGAGGCACACGCTGTGGTTTCCAGTCCAAGAAGGGGGAGTCCTAGTGCCCTGGATCAATATTGAGTTAATTTATCCCATTTGCTCTGGTCACCTCTAAGCGGCATAGGGGTCGGGCCATAAAGGCCTTTGCCCAAACTTCAGGCGCAGGGTGGAGGGCCAAAGTCACAGAGTCACGGTTTCTTTCCGAGTATTTCCTCTATTGGGAAATGCCTCGGACTTGGGTTTTTAGGACAAGGCCATGGAGTGGCCTTTCATCCTAGGGTTAAGGCAGTCTTTGCAAAGCTCTGGAGTTCTCTGCTGTCCCCCACCCAGTGCTAGGAGGAACCGAAGGAAAAGTGGGGGCTGTGTCCTGCCCAGGCACAACTAGTGTGTAAGGTCCAGTGGCTTCCTCAGATCCGCACCTCTCCTCCCCCGCCGGTGTCTCTGTTGGCACTAGCTGCTTCAGCTAGATTCCCAACAGGCTACGGTGTCAGTGCGGGGGTGCCGAAAATTCTAGGTCCTTAGGGATGCCAAGCCCTCTTTTCTACACACGCAACACCTGGGCCAGTCCTTCCAGGGAATCCATGTGTGTCCGCGGAGGGGCTGTGACTGAAAACGTAGAGTCCAGTACCAGGACTAAGAGAAATGCGAGGTGAAATGCGGTCTCCCGTCCTAGCCCCGGTGGTACTGCAGGTCTGAGAGAGCGAGGCCTTGAGTACCGGAGTTCAAGGCTTCTCCACATCCCGGGATTCCCCCTCATGTGTCCTCCCAACACACTAGATGTAAACAGCCCCTCCCAGCTCTCTCTCAAAGCCTCTGTCAGGGGTGCGGGTGGAAGTCTTGACCCACACAAACCCCTTGAGAAAGCAAAACTTCCCCCAGAAAAAGGCAGCCTCCTTCCGGGGGGAGGGGGACCCCACTATGAGACTCATGCTGCCTAGCACGGTCTGGCCCTTTAGAAGCACAGGCAAGGGTCCTGAGATACTGCCTGCCCCCTTGCCCTGTTAGGGGGCTGTCCCTTTCCTCCCCAACCGCTGGGGGCCCTGACACCCCAGAGCCCAGAGCCCGAGGCCCTGGAGACAGGCCGAGGGCAGGAAGATAAACAGGCAGCCCTTGATGGCCGCTGTCATCATGGCCGTCATCATGGCTTTCATTTGGCTGCCTAATGAGTCACATCACAGGCTGAGAGAAAAATTGTCAATCGCCTGGGCCCTAATGAATTTTTTTGCAAATTGTAATCAAGCCAGGCCGTCTCAGCTGGCTGATTAATGAGACCCACGAGGCTCGGCCAGCACCTCAGCTTTTTATTCCATCCCGTCCTCCCCGCACTAAATTAACAGCAACTTGTCTGAGCTTCAAATTAACTCCCAATGATTAATTCTGATGGGGGGGCCTGAAGAATAGCTTGTTCTAATAGGCTCTGGCCCGAGATGCTGTTGGAAATTAATACACTTCCCCTTTGGCTGCCGGCTTTAATCCAAGGTTGGGTTTTGACATCACTATATTTGCTGTTACAATAAATCCCACTTACATCTGCAGATCGAATAATTATGGCCAGGATCACACAGGCCTGGGCCCCCAGCCGGTGGTGCAGTGGGACACCTGGGGGCTGACCTCGGATCCATAGCCTAAGGAGGGGGTTATCCTGGGAAGAGTCACCTGACCCCATGGCCCTTTTTCTCATCCCCCATAATCCTTCCCTTATCAGGGAGCTTGGGTATCCCCAACTCTTTGGAAAACTGAATTTGCTTTGAAAGCCTACATCCAGATCTTTATCCAAGCAGTCTGTCCCTCAGGCTCCCCTAGAAGGCTGGGAATTCCTTCCAGGCAAAGGTGTGTGTATGTGTGTGTGTGTGTGTGTGTGTGTGTGTGTGTGTGTGGTATATATGTGTGTGGTGTGTATGTGTATGGTGTATGTGTGGTGTGTATATGTATGGTGTGTGTGTGGTGTATATGTGTGTGTATGGTGTGTGTGGTGTGTATGTGTGTGGTGTGTGTGTGGTGTGTATGTGTGTGGTGTGTATGTGCTATGTGTGTGTTGGTGGGGAGGGCTTCTCCAACCGTAAATTGAAGCTGGAATTTTCAAGACTTAAAACAAGCTTGTCACAAGGCAGTGAGTCTTTAGTCCCCTGGAAAGGTTCCTTCAGGTTGCCTTTTCAGCTACATAGGCTGAGAGCAAGACCTTCGGGCCCTCTCCCCCATGGACTGGCCAGTCTCGTTCTGGTTGTGTGCTCTGCCTTCCAAGATGCCCTTTCTCCGGGGTCAGCACTTGCTCCCTCTCCTTTCTGTGGCTGGAGCTTAATTGGCTTAATCACTTCAGCTGTGTCTGGTGAGCCTCACCCCAGGGCCTCCAAGGCTGCTCCTGCTGGCCCTGGTGTACTCAAGGCGAGTACCCAGTGTGCTGAAGATTAGGAGGAACACTCAGACTCATGGCTCTGGTTCCCCCTTTATGACTGCCCAAGCTCCTCAAATCTGCCTGTAGCAGCCCTGCCAATCAACTTGGCTTCCACACTTTCTCTTGGACACTGGCTATGACATAACCAAGTGACCTGCTGGACCAAGCTGTGTGGCCTTTGGTGACAGGTTCCTATGCACAACACCTCTCTCTATCCTTAGAGACCATGATCCTCTGTCCGGGTATACACAGCTTGGGCAAGTGGCCTCCCCTCAACCTTGGAGCTGGGGCCAGCACAGCCTTCTTCACCAGCGCTGGGATCTAACCTAGTCAGCCTTTGGGGTCCTGGAGGGAGGCACAACCAGGGTCGACAGTGATGGCCTGGACAGAGAGAAGCAGCATTAGTCTTCATTTGGGCCCTTATGGTGTGTAAACAGGAGAAATATGATCTTGGTAACTGAACATGAATGCAAATCACACTGTCAGAGTAATAAAGCACCTGAAACCCCGACAAACAAAAGCAACACCATATGTATGAAGACAACCTGCATAAATTATAAATTACATCATAAAAATTGATTGCCTATTTGAACAGTTTAGAAGTGGGAGACCTAAGCTGACTTCTGCCCTCTGTGGCTTTGGAGAAAGGTCAGGCTGTGCCTTCTCCCTCTGTGGGTCCCTAACCCGAGGACCTGGGTGCAGGTTGTGGTGGATAGTAGATGGGACAGCAAGCTTGAGGAAGATCCCACTTCTGGTGGGTTGTGATGGCAAGGGCAATGGGGCTGTCGACAGTCATGGCCCAGCAGGCCGCTGGCGCTTCTGGCCAACACACAGTGTTGCGGTCCTAGAAGATGCTGAGATTGTCTAGGCAGCTCTCTCTGGATGGAGCCAGTCTTCGGTGAGCAGGCGTGTGAGAGCTGGCGAATGTGCGTACTTTGCTTCGGAGCAAGTGAGCGCGGACGTGTGTATGTGATGTGTGATTCGCTGTTCTCCTCGGCAGCTTCTTTCGCGTTCCTAGATGTACTACAGTCAAGAGTTCGATCTTGCAGTCAGGGCCCGCACGTCCCCAGAGCTGAGCGCCCATTACGCCCCCGGAGCTTCTTGGAACTCCACTCTGCAGTAATCCCATCCTTGTCAGAATCCCTCCTCGGCTGCACTTCTGAACTCTCCCTGAACCTCTTCCCAGACCCCCTGGGCCTGCGGCCCCAGCACCACTCTGTGCTCTCCCAGCGCGGTGTTAGCTTCAAAGAGGGAGTACGTCTCTGGTCCTTAGAAGGACTTCCACTGTCACCTCCTTCACCCTCTCCAGTTTGGCCTCGGGGTTGCTCAGTCCCTGCTCCGTGTCCGCTAGCATCTCTTCCTGGAACATGGGTTTATGGCTTTCCCCCAGTTCTCTGTACTCATGCGGTCAGCTATCCTCTCCAATCGGCCACCCCCGCGTGGCCAACTCGGAGCTGCACCCAAGCTGACCTCACAATATCAAGGTCCGAATTGTAGGAGGACACCCGACCCCACGGGGGCGGTTCCTGCACCGAACCCCATAGAAGCGGTTCCTGCTCAGTCGTGGAGGTCTGCCCCCCCCCTCCAGCAGCCTCCAGGGAGAGAGAGAGAGAGAGAGAGAGAGAGAGAGAGAGAGAGAGAGAGAGAGAGAGAGGTCTTCGTGGGCCTGACC